AAGACTACGACACCGACTACGACTACGACTGCAGCTGCGACGGCGAGCACTACTACATTTATTCAGACGGCTAATACCACCACTACTACTACGATGACTACAACAACGCTTGCTACCACTACTACTACTACTACTACTACTACTACTACTACTACTACTACTACTACTATTCTACCACTACTACTACTAATGCTACTACTACTGCTACTACTACTGCTACTACTACTACTACTACTGCTACTACTACTACTACTACTACTACTACTACTACTACTACTACTACTACTTGTGCTACTACTAGAAGTATTACCACTGCTCGTACTACCACCATTCCTACTACGAATATTATCAGTATTACTCATATTGTTACTCTTACTACTAGTACGATCACTACTACTACTACTGCTACTACTACTGCTGCTACTACTGCTACCACTACGAATACCATCACTTCACTGCGACAACGGCGACTGCTACTTCCACTACAGCTACCATTGCTTATTTACTGATACTACTACTGCTACAAGCACTACCGCTACTACTACTTCTACTTCTTCTTCTACTACTACTAGGGAATAATTCATCTTGGGCTTCCCTACACGCGGGAGGATGTGTGAGTAGCTTCTCATCAGGATTGCAACATGAGTCAGCGCGTATGGTTATAGTCATGACTGTAGTCGTGCTTGTAGTCGTTCTTGCGATCGTGCTTGTACTCATGATTGTAGTCGTAATCGTCGTCGTTGTTGTAGTCGTAAGTGTAATCGTCATTTTAGTCGTTGTCGTAAGCGTCGTCTTCGTCGCGGCGGAGATGGTTGGGCGGCTGGATCATGTTTTTGGTGGCTCTCTCCCAGGGGATAATGCCCCCCTGGGCGACCCTGCACGACAGATGAACTTTGGGCAAGTTTGCAGGATTGCAACACACACATATATATATGTATATACACATATAGTCATGCATATTCACACATATGCATATACATACGACACATGTATATCGACACACTCTGCGCCGAAGGCATTGCTCACAGCTGTTCAGATGATGGAGCTTCGGAGGATGCAGCTTCTGAGGGACCTCGTTGGGCCTGAGCTTCAAGAGTCGTTCTGCGGATGGAGCTTCTGAGGATCAAGCTTCTGAGGGCCGAGTTTGTGAGCCATGATTTTCCGTGGGAGCGATCCTGAGGCATAAGTGCAAATGGTCGTCGTCGTCGTCGTAGTCGCAATCGTTGTCGTAGCTGTCGGCGTCGCTGTTGCGCGGCGGGGGCCGCAGGACAGAAATAATGAGTTGCCCCTATCGTTGGGATCCCAGTCCGTGAACAGGGACTTCGTGAAATTGATTCGTGACCCCGTATTGCAGGGGGGTTCTAAAGACCTGCTACGCAAGGGCTCCCACGAGGGCGCGAAGTTATTCGCGCTTCGCGCTTCGCGGTCCTCGTTCCTTCTCCCCCTCCTCCTCGTCCTCCTTTTCTCCCTTTGGGGGGGCGGCGCGAGGGCGCGAAGTTATTCGCGCTTCGCGGAGCGCGAAGCGCGAAGTTGGCAGCCCTAGCCACGATTATGGTGAGGGGGAATGCTTCTTAGAAGCACCCTGCTTCTAAGAACACTTCCCCCCTCCCCCTTACCCTCTTGAGCGCGCCGCCAAGTGCTGGTCCAGGGTCCTTTCGGTCGTCAAGTAATGGGGGTGCGACACATGGGGGCGGTGAAGGAAGGTGCGCCTTGTGTGCCGTGAAGGGGCCCAGAGGGGCCCCAAAGGGGCACGAAAGGTGCGCGTTCCTCCCATTGATCGCTCCCCGATTAATTAACGCCCGGTCTTCGGGACGTGTCGGCGACCAGATCCGACCTCTACCTCTGACGATCAAATACTCGGGCAGCTCGGTGGGCGGCGGGGGTAGGGTTCGGAGTTCGCCGAGCACGTGGCGAAATCCAAACCCTACCCCCGCCTCCCATCGATTCTGGAGAGTCTATTGTTTGTGAGGGTAGGGTTCGGGTGTCGCCACCTAGCGTTAGGGTTCGGAGTTCGCCGAGCACGTGGCGAAATCCAAACCCTACCCCCGCCTCCCATCGATTCTGGAGTTTATTGTTTGCGAGGGTAGGGTTCGGATGTCGCCACCTAGCGTGTGTTAAATCGCCCAACGTGGGTTTGCCCAGTTCAGTTTTACCGATCGCAGGGAGCCAGTGTCGGCCCTCACCACACCGTCAGGTTGAGCTGCGTGATTCTGGTGGGCAAGCACACGTTGGCGCTAACACCCACGGGTCACAAAGCCGCGTGGTGACGGACCGCGCGGTGAATTCAACACCACAGTCCTCACCGCGTGGTCCGTCACCGCACGGTCTTGGGACCTCGGATGCCCCAGTCGCCCGAAACGTCCTCGGAGAACGACCCGAGCCCCCGAGCCGTGCGGTGACCCCACATCCCAACTGACTCACCATGCGTTTGGTCACCAAACTGTTTGGGCCCCCCCCTCAGAATATACTTGGGCGCGGCTAGAACTGGGATACATCGTTCCATAGCGTTGCGGAACGCTCTCAGAGCGTTCCGTAACGCTCTGAGAAGGCCGTGGAGCCCGATACGTCCTCCAGGACCGTCGAATCTCGGAGATCCCCGATTCGTCCCTGTCCCAGCTTCGTCCTGGACACGTTCTGATGACCATCGAGTTGAGCGTGGACGTCCTCTGGCTTGGCATCGCTCGGACGTGTGCATTTTTCCTTCGGCGAGGACCATCGAGGAGCATCCTTGATCATTTTGCGAAAACACCACGCACGAAACCAGCAAAAAAAAAACACAGGAAATGGACGTCCGAGCGATGGCCAGCTGGTGGCCCGGGCGCCCAGGGACCTCTCCGTGAGCGTGGTGGAGAACCTGCAGGAACGGCAGCTGGACCCCTCCGAGTACTTGAGCGCCGGCTCGCTGCTCTTCGAGCCCCGGCGCGGCTCGCTGCAGGCCGCGGCGGCGCAGGTGCTGGCGAGGCGAACCGTAAGGCGGGCGTGTCCCTCTACAGGAGGTATTCCAACATAATAATAGTATGGGGACGGTTTTTCGACTGTCTCTGATTATCATTGAATATTTGTTGACGATGTTTTATTGATTGTCAATGTTTTATTGATTCTCGAAAGTCCGTCTGTAGGGGGGGACACGCCCGACCTGAGGCTGAACCAAGACCTGGAGTCGGCTTGGGGTCTGAGCTGGCCCAGCACTCGTTCTGGCCCGCAGGAAGGGGCTGGGGGCCAGGTTCGAGGTTCTGGGCTCGAGAAGTTGGTTTCTGTTTGTAAGGTTTTGTTGCTGTTGTAAGTTGTTGTTGTTGTTGTTGTTGTTGTTGTTGTTGTTGTTGTTGTTGTAAGTTTTTGTTGTAAGTTCTAGGCTCGAGAAGTGTTTTGTAAGTTGTTTTTTTGTTTCTGTAAATTTGTGTTGTGAGTTTTTGTTGTAAGTTTTTGTTGTAAGTTTTTCGTGTAAGTTTTTGTGGATATTTTTTGTTGTTGTACAGTTTTGTTGTTGTAAGTTTTTGTTGTAAGTTCTGGGCTCGAGAAGTTTTGCTTGTTAGCTGTAAGTTGTGTTTGTTGTCTCTGTCCCCGGGGGCCGCCCTCGGGCCCCCCGGGGCCGTCGACGTCGGATCCAGGAGGAAACCATTGCGCCACGCGATGATCATTTTTTTTATGCTTCGTCTTTGCCGACCGGCGCGGGCCCTCGCACCCCCCCCCCCGCTAGCCCCTCCTCCTCCTCCTTCCCCTTCCTTTCCTCCCTCCTCCTCCCTCCTCCTCCTCCCTCCTCCACCTCCCTCCTCGTCCTTCCTCCTCCCTTCTCCTCCCTCCTCCTCCTCCCCCCCATGGAGTGGATCTTGGCCATTTTTGGCGCCTGTTTCCAGCAGGCGGCGCCTCCCCCCTAATGGACGCACTGGTGCAAACAGTCGCACTGAGTGGAGGTCTGGAGCCCGACCCCCCTCCCCCCTTCGCCGAATGTCGAAACGCCGAATGAGAAAACCTTGACCTTAGGAAAGATTTTGGCGGATTTGACATAACTGCCCCCCCCCCCTCTTGACCGATTTTTTTTTCTGGGCCCAGCCGGCTCAGACCCCCCCGGCCTGCCTGTAGTATAGGCCTACGAAAGGATGCTCTTGTCCCAGTTGTGCTTGGTACGCTTCCGGCTCAGGCGGTTCTGTTTTGATGCGTCGCTCTTACGGTATGAGAAGACTGTTCTTGTTTTCGGAGCGGCCTTGGTTGCTCCAAGCACATGTCGTGGTAGGCCTAATGATAGGAATGCCGGGACGGTCGGTCCCTGCTCAAATCGGGAGCCTTGAGACGTGGGTCAGTGCAAACGGGGGTCAGCCAGGGCGCCAGGTCCTGCAGGATGCTGCGAAGACCCCCCCTGGCTGGCACGGGTTAGCGAGCCGCTCGTGGCCGCGAGGCGGCCGCACGTATTGGCTGACCCAGGTTTGCGAAGACCTGCGTTGCAGTTTTTTTTTCCTGCAGTGCAGTTTTTGATTTCCTGCTGACCCGGGTCTGGATTGACCCGGGTCAGAAGATCCCCGATCAAAGGTGCTGGCGAGGTTGACCCCAGACCGCGCCGTCTATTCCGCCACCGCGCGCAGCTTGGGGCCCGCCGCGACGGAGTCCGAGCGCTGGTACGGCACGAGGCATCGGGGACTGCCCAGCAAAGGTGGTCCTGGCCGCTCGCAGGCGGCGCAGCCGACCAAGAGAAGCGGGCTAAGCAAGGAAAAAGAGGAGGAGGAGGAGGAGGAGGAGGAGGAGGAGGAGGAGGAGGAGGAGGAGGAGGAGGAGGAGGAGGAGGATAAGGATTTGCAGCTGCCGTTGCCTCCTCCTCCTCCTCCTCCTCCTCCTAGAGGGGTCTGGGGACCGATCTTGAGTTGCCGTTGCCTCCACCGGCCCGTGCCTGCTCCGAGCTCCGGAGGCCGCCGTGGGCCGGGTCCTGAGATCCGGCGTGGCAGATATACCTGCGACACCGAGCAAGATCACGACGGGGCCCCGGACCCAGTGTTTCTGCGGCATTTTCCGAGCCAGGTCGACTTGCGATTGTAGGGAAACAAGCAATGACATGAACATAAAAACTCGGAGGTCCGCGCGGGTTCCTCGGGTGGGCGCTGAAGCCCCCCTGGCGGCGCCTCCGGCGCCGCCCCTGGCGCGTACCGCTCGCCATGGAGGGCTCCAGGGCCGATCCGAGGAATCCGCGCGGACCTCTGCGTTTTCATGCTTCTGTCATTGTTTGGCCCCCTAGATTGTCCCGGGGCCCGAAGCCTTGCGAAAACGAGCGGGGGGAAAGTTGCGACGCCCAGATCTCGGGGCGGACACCTCTCCGGCAGCACCCGAGAGAGGTACTCCCGCGTGCCCATCGCCGACGCCACCGTCGCGTCTTGGCAGCGGCCGCGCGTGCCGCAGGTTACCAGCCTGGAACACATCCACATCCCAATGATTGGCATCTGCCGATCTCCAGGATTCCCGCAGCCTCTGAGTGCGCATCCCTGAATTTGTCATCGCCTTTAGGCGTATGATGTGCCAACTTACTTTAGCCTTGACCGCTAGAAAGCATTTCGAGCACCAAGCAGGTACCGAAACTGGAGGGTGCTCACGTATCGGGCCCTGGGAGGCGATACTCGTTCGACATTGTTTCGACACTCTTCTGGGATGTGGTCCTCACGCGCGATGGGGGCAGCATAACTCGAGGCTCGTCAGTCTTACATCAGGAGAGAAAAAACACACAGACACAATCAATCGTCGATTCCCCAGAAAATGTAGGAAAATAGGGAAGTGGGGGGGAAGACAAACAACCCAAAAATATGGGAAGACATGGGGAATCTTTTCATTTGTGTGTATCTACTTGTGTGTCCTGGGGCCCCCACGAAGCTTCGAGCGCGTTTTCCTGCGCCGTCGCCCCCAGGATGTCCGTGTGGCTGCGGGAAGGGCCGTGCCGGATCTTTCCCGCTGGCGCCCGCAGACCGTGCCGCGCGCGCAAGGCAGCCACGCGCAGAGGGGGGTGGGGGGAGGGGGGAGGGCTTCTTAGAAGCACCCCTGCTTTTCTTAGAGGGCGCGGCCCCTATCTATAGATGTAGGGCCGGCGCCTTCTGAGAAGCAGCCTCCTTCTAATCAGGAGGGGGAAAAACACACAGACACAATGAATCGTCGATTCCCAGGAAAATGCAGGAACATATGGGAAGTGGGGGGGAAGACAGAAACCCAGAAAATATGGGAACACATTTTTTAAATATATATCAGGGAAGGTTTACATGTTTTTTTTCAGATATGCTTCTACACATCGCTGTTGGTTTTCAGGTTTGCTTTACCTAACAGCTTTTGCTGATAGGTTTCTAGTAGGGTCAAAAGAGAGCATCTGGACTCCACAGGGGGGTCTGGGCAGGTGCCGGGGAGGAGGGCCGGGAACAGAGCCGGGCTCGTTTTAAGCCAACAGTCACACACTTCGTGCTCTTCGACCTCCCAGAACTCCATTCCCGGGCCACATTCTGAATGCCCGGAGCCAACTGTAGGCCACTTCGTGCTCTTCGACTTCCCAGAACTCAATTCCCGGGCCACATTTTGAATGCCCGGAGCCAACTGTAGGCCACTTCGTGGTCTTCGAGTTCCCAGAACTCCATTCCTGGGCATGATTTTGAATGCCCGGAGCCAACTGTAGGCCACTTCGTGTTCTTCGAGTTCCCAGAACTCCATTCCTGGGCATGATTTTTAATGCCCGGAGCCAACTGTAGGCCACTTCGTGGTCTTCGAGTTCCCAGAACTCCATTCCAGGGCATGATTTTGAATGCCCGGAGCCAACTGTAGGCCACTTCGTGTTCTTCGAGTTCCCAGAATTCCATTCCCGGGCCACATTTTGAATGCTGAGACAGGCTGAGGCTGAGGCTGAGGCAGGCTGAGGCTGAGGCAGGCTGAGGCTGAGGCCGAGGCTGAAGGCAGACTGAGGCTGAGGCTGAAGCAGGCTGAGGATGAGGCAGAGGCAGGCTGAGGCTGAGGCAGGCTGATGCTGAGGCAGGCTGAGGCTGAGGCTGAGGCTGATGCAGGCTGAGGCTGAAGGCAGGCTGAGGCTGAGGCCGAGGCTGAAGGCAGACTGAGGCTGAGGCTGAAGCAGGCTGAGGCTGAGGCTGAGGCAGGCTGAGGCTGAGGCAGGCTGAGGCTGAGGCTGAGGCTGATGCAGGCTGAGGCTGAGGCAGGCTGAGGCGGAGGCCGAGGTTGAAGGCAGACTGAGGCTGAGGCTGAAGCAGGCTGAGGCTGAGGCTGAGGCAGGCTGAGGCTGAGGCTGAGGCTGATGCAGGCTGATGCTGAGGCAGGCTGAGGCTGAGGCTGAGGCTGATGCAGGCTGAGGCTGAGGCAGGCTGAGGCTGAGGCCGAGGCTGAAGACAGACTGAGGCTGAGGCTGAAGCAGGCTGAGGCTGAGGCTGAGGCAGGCTGAGGCTGAGGCAGGCTGAGGCTGAGGCTGAGGCTGATGCAGGCTGAGACTGAGGCAGGCTGAGGCTGAGGCCGAGGCTGAAGGCAGACTGAGGCTGAGGCTGAAGCAGGCTGAGGCTGAGGCTGAGGCAGGCTGAGGCTGAGACTGAGGCAGGCTGAGGCTGAGGCTGTGACTGCGACTGCCGTTGCCACTGCGACTGTCATCGCGAATGCGACTACGACTGCGAGAACAGCAGAATTCTACAACTGCTGGATTCTCATCCGAATCTTAAGGGGAATGCTTCCAGATGTGCTCCTACACATCGCTGTTAGGTTGCTTTGCCGTTTTTTTTGTGTTGTTTTCTTTTTCTTTCTCTTTTTCTTAAAAAAAATGTGTGTATTTATTTGTGTGTCCTGGGGCCCCTTCATCTAAGAAGCCCTCCCCCCTCCCCCCACCCCCTTGTGCGCGCCGCCAAGCAAGGGAACACTGAGGTCGGGGGCGCAGGGGGGTCGGCAACGTTTGCGCTGAGTCCCGCGGAGTGTCGTAAGGATCGGGGGGGGGCAGCCCCCCCCCCCTGTGACACGTCGACCAGTGAATGGGCCGTTTTCGGTTCTCGGGAGGGCGCCGCGGCCGTCCTTTTCCAGGCGTGCGCCCGCCAGGTTTGGGCCCGAGGTCGCTTTCACTGAACCACGTTTTACCATGAGGGGGTTCTGTCCATCCCCGAAATGAGGACAGCACAACCCACGCCCACCCCAGCCAGGACCCCACGAGCTTGTGATCCAGGGGGTCCTGTCTGGGGGTGGGCGGTTGGAAAAATTACAACCTCACCCCTGGCCATGACCCCCTTGATCACCACTTCGGGAGTGGGAGTCCTGGCTGGGGGTGGGGGTGGGTTGCGTGGCACGTTGCATCGAAAAACAAAAGACTTACACATGATTTCTCGTGGATTCTCGCGGATTTCTTGGATGGCTGCTGGTCCACCCTGGCGGCGCTTCCGGCGCCGCCCCTGGCGCGCTCCGCGAGCCAGGGAGGGGGGTCCGGGGTCCAGCGCCGAAAGAAGATTGCGCGGACATCCGAGAAATCCTGCTCATGTCTTTTTTGCTTCTGGTATGCTGTAGGGATGCCCCAAGAGCTCTGGACAATTTCCCCAGGACCCGTGCTTCATCACAGCTTGCTTTGCGGACGGCCCCGGGGCCCGCTGAGGGCTCCTGGGGTTAAGTCGGGCTTGTTCCTCTACAGGAGGAATCTCCAAAAATGGTAAAAATCGTCAGTGGACGATTTTTCTAATATAATTTATTGTTTGTAGTATGCTTTATTTTTCATCCAAAATTCGCCTGTTGGAAGACATGCCTGACCAAACCCTGGAGGCCGAGGGGAGCCCCAGAGCGGACGCCCCAATTCTCGTCGGAGCCTCAGACCCTTATGGGACAGGGATGGACTCCAGGCTGGCTGGCAGGGCTATCAGCTGCCCGCCCCAAACCCGTTCGTGCCCAAGGATTGGCGGCGCGCAGAAGGGGGTAGGGGGAGGGGGGAAGGCTTCCCAGAAGGAGGCTGCTTCCGAGAAGGCGCCGGCCTTACATCTACAGAGAAGGCCGGCACCTTCTACGAAGCAGGGGTGCTTCTAAGGAGCCTTCCCCCTCCCCCTACCCCCCTTTCCCAGACCCCCGACGCCATGCTTTTTTTGTTTACGACGCCGACCCTCAGAGGTCTCGACCCGTTTCCCTGGACCCGCTTTTCAACCCGAGCTGTTTTTTGACGGTCCCGTGGGCCAGTAAGGGCTTCCAGAGGCCGAAGATTAGGAGAAACCTTCCGTCATGAATTCTTCATTACCCGAGGGGTGTTTCTAAGAAGCCTTCCCCCCTCCCACTATCTTCTTCCTCCTTCTCCTCCTCCTCCTCCTCCTCCTCCTCCTCCTCCCCCTCCTCCTAGCCGCCGCGGGGCCCGAGGTGGGTCCTTGGCGGGGCGCGATTCGCAGCGGCGCAGCCCCGCCGAGCCGCAGTGGCTGTCTCGGGGCCCCGTTGATGGAGGTCCTTGTCTCGGAGGGCGCCCTGTCTCCCCAATGAGTGCTTCGCGCGCCCCGCCTAGCTCTTAACCGGAAGAGGCCCGCTCTCGACCCGCTGACCCAAGAAAAGTCTCGGAGGGCAAGGTGCTTGGCCTCCGCGGCAAGACGCTCGGCCTGAAACTGGGTGAGATCCCGCCCGGCCCGCGCGCTGTCGTCGGGCGGTCGGAGCAGCTGGTGATCGAGCTCAGCGAGGGTGTCAGGTCGGCAACACCCCAACATACTTATACTATATGTGCGTCGCCCCCCCAGGGGCGACGCGCGCACCGAGAAATCTTATAGTATATGCGTCGTGGCGGGCGCTTTCTGGCCACACCGCTCGGGAAACGATATACTACAAGATGGGTCTACTATATGTTCGGGTCGGACGCGCGCCTCCAAGGAGGACATATAGTATCAGTATGTCTCTGTGCGTCCGCCAAGTCTGCGACGGGGAGGTCGTCGGAGCCTTCGCCGTTGCCGAAGCGGAGGCCACGGCCGATATGGGCCTCCCGCCGAAGAGCGGGTCGCCAGTCGTCGCCCACCGCCGACGAGGCAGAGGCTGGAGGAGACGGAGGAGGAGGAGGAGGAGGAGGAGGAGGAGGAGGAGGAGGAGGAGGAGGAGGAGGAGGAGGAGGAGGAGGAGGAGGACAGCAGACACGCGGAGGCCCTGCGCCAGGCGTGGTGGGGCACTCGGCCTCTCCACGGCCGGAGGGAGCACGGGCCGACTCCTGCAGGCTGGCACGGAGCTCACCCTGCGCGGGAGAAGGGATCAGGACCTGGAGGCTGCTCCCCGGCGACACGCAGCATACCCTCCGAGGCCCTCCGCCAGGCTGGTGGGGCACTCGGCCTCTCCACGGCTGGAGGGAGCACGGGCCGACTCCTGCAGCCGGGGATGGACAGACCCCCCTTTAGTAAAGCGTGGTTGAAAGAAAACGACCCGAGGCCCAAACCTGGCGGGCGCCAGCCTGGAAAATAATGGCCACGGCGCCCTCTCGAGAACCGAAAACGGACAATCCACCAATCGACGTGTCACTGTTGGGGGTTCTGTCCACCCCCGATGCAGGATGGCATGGAGCCCACCCTGCGCGGGAACAAGGATCAGGACCTGGAGGCGTTCGTCAATGGCCTCACGCTGGAGGGGACCGACCCCTACGGCTTCGAGGCTGCCCAGGAGGCGATCATCCAGGAGAAGGCCAAGAAGGACGAGGCGAGGCACGTCAAGGAGAAGAAGGTTCGGAACCACAAGAAGGGCAAGAAATTTGCGAAGGCTGCTCGGAAGCACGAGGGAAAGCTGGAGAAGCGGCGCAAGCGATCGAGGACACGCTCCGCATCGGCTGGGAGTCGTTCCGAGCGCAGCTGCTCGCAGGACGCCCAGAAGAACATTCGGAAGCGCAGGAGGCACACCAAGGATTCGAAGGTTGTGTCGCGGGACGCCGTGAAGAGTGATCGGAAGCACACGAAGCACAGCAGGGGCTCGGAGGCAGTGGGCTTGCCAGAGTTCCCCCGTGGCGGTGCAAGCGCTGTCGGCATGTGAACTTCGGGTTCCGCCTGGTGTGCCAGATCTGCAAGGCGGAGGGAGCCTCCGCCCGAGGTGAAGCATCGGCATGACGTGCGGGCTGTGGAGCTGGTGGTGGACGACCCGTCCGACCACCCCCAGTAGAAGAAGGATCGGAAGTTTAAGAAGAGCGCGAAGGCCTACGAGGGCGAGGGCTCCAGCATGAGTGTCAAGAGGCCGTGGGTGATGAAGTGCCCTCGGGCTCCGTGGACACGCTAGTCATGGACAAATCGTTTGCTGGCTGGAGGCGCGTGGGCATGGGTTCAGGCGACATCGCTGATGCGGAGGTTGAGGACGCTGACGAATTGGCCGACATTCTCAGCTTGCTGGGCGACGTCTTCGTCAGCGTCGGCGAGATGGACAGATATGCTAAGTTGGTGAAGGGCGGCGAGGGCGGCACTGGCGGCTTCGTTGGAGGCCAGGGCGTGCCGTCGGATAAGCAGGGCGAGTTCGGCAAGCGGCTCGAGCTCGGGGACGGCGGAAGCGTTGCGACAACTAGTGGAAATGCGAGCGACGATGGCAGTGAGAAGCAGTTCTCCGACATCGCTGGCAAAAGGATCATGCAGAAGGACCGTGGGCCGAATCCCACGGGTTCAAGCATGAAGGCACAGGCCATGAGTAAGAGCAAGGGCAAGCACAAGGTCAATGGCGTCGTTGACAAGAACGGCCTGGACTGCATGGGCAACATGGAGCTGCTGGCCCTGGCGAGAAAGCGGTTTGACGTTTCCGCGTTGAAGCAGGTCCTCAACGAGAAGGCTTCCAGCCTCGCGATGGGCGTGGAGGTGGAGGCGGCCCCGCGGCGGCCATAGGCGGCTGTCCTCCTCCTGCCAAATCCTCTGAGTGGCTCGCCGAGTCGGCGGCGCGGGCGGGTCGGCTCTCGGTGGCGGTCGTGGGCTGTCTTTGTCGCCTCGGCTGGTCTCGCCTCGGGCCTTTGGGCCGGCTTTGGTTTTCCGTGGGTTTCTGGTTCCCCGTCGCTTGGCTGGATTCCCTTTTGAAGTTCGCTGGGCATTGGCTCGGCTCCAGCGTCGCGGCGTCGGCCCGCGGCGCCTCGGCGGGCGCGCCAGGGCTTCTGGAGACAGGCCGCATCATCAGACCCCTCAGACCCCTCTTCTTCTTCTCTTCTGCTTCTTCTTCTTCTTCTTCTTTTTGTTATTCTTCTTTTTCATCCTCCTCCTCCTCCTGCCTCTTCTTGGGGTGACGAGTGCGCCCGAGAGCTTTAATTTATTTCGCCGTCGAGGTTTAACCTGCTTGCAGAGTTTGGCTTGATGATGCACACAGTGAAACCTCCTCCTCCTCCTCCTCCTCCTCCTCCTCCTCCTCCTCCTCCTCCTCCTCCTCCTCCCCCTCCCCCCCCTCCCCCTGGCCCCCCTCCGGCGCGCCGCCGACAACAGGATCTGGGCCTGCGGAGCCCGCAGGCCGCGCCGGGCGACCGCGCCCGGGTGCTCCGCGAGGCGCCCGCGCTGCGCCGCGGCGACGACCGCTGGAGGGTGTTCTTCAAGCCGGACCGGGTCTTCGCAACGCCCAAG